AAAATTATTGTTCACTTGTGGTTGCCTGCCAGGCTTTTCTCCAGCACAGAGGAAGGCTCATGCTTTGTTCTGAGCAACAAAGACTTTTGGAGGATATCCCAGCRTCTAATCCTCCCCTTACAAGAACCTCTCTTTGTGGGGAGGGTTGTAGGCACCCATAAACGCAGGAATTGTTTCAGACATATTGACGGTGGAAGAGGAGCAGTCATGTGCCTGTAATTTCATGGTTATCACCTCCATGCATCACTCCTACCTCCAAAGGATCATCCATGCACCCAGCTCATGCAGGGGGGGAGGGTTTTGGGATCATTCATGTTGGATTTGGTACTGGTTCTTCTGCTGGCACAAATGTTCTCAAAAAGGTCTCCTCAGAACCTCTACTTGAARTGAGGCCCTGCCCACTGCAAGGACCTGATGGCCTTTAAAGGTCTCTTTGAACCCAAACTTTTCTGTAACTCTGTGATTTTGAGTGTGATTTGGTCTATCTGGTTAACCTTTCAAACTGTGAGGTCATTATGCAAGAACCTCCCCAGCTCAAAGCCTCCTACTTAATTTCCCTTCTCTGTGTCTTCCTCAGGACTTTGAAGAAGCTTTTAATAAATTAAAATAAACTTTCAATAAATTAAAATACCAGGTGGAACATCTCAGACACAATGTCTTCACGATGGTTTTATTGCTTGTTTTAAGCAGTGTCAACCACAGAGAAGAACCTCCTCTGAAGCAAGGAGGTGAACCAAATACAAAGGAGAAAAACAAAAAAACAAAAAAAAAAACCAAAAAAGAAAAATAGCCATTTCATTGCATATGTACAGAGTCAGAACGAAAAATAAATAACATCAGGCAAAAGGCCATGAAACAAGGCAGAGATTTCACCTGTGCTGAGCAGGCARCCTGTTCTCGCTGGCATGAAGGATACATCACAAGCACCTGGTAGAGAAAAGTCCCCAGAGATAGAGATTCTCTGCTCACAGCCAGTTTCCCTCACCCTCTGCTGTCAAAGCCTATTTACAGGAGGGCACAGCAGAGGTGTTGACAGCTTGAGTGAGAAGGGTCAGTTGGTACCAGCTGCTGACCCACAGCTTGAGGTGTTTGAAACAGGGTCTGAAAAATGCACTTTCGAAGTCAAAAAAATGCTGTTTTTAACTCGATTTATAATTGGCATCATCTGAGTATCAAAAATGCAGTTTGTTTATTTCTGTTTTAAATGTGTTCTTCAGATTTCCTCTATGTACAAATGCACAATACCCACAAAACTTGGGAATAAAACAATGGTGCTCTGCTGATGCCGATGTGCGTGACCTCGAGATCTGGCCCTCAGAATCCAAGAGGGCATTATTTTCCTTACAGACCTGTTACATCATTCCCAGCCCCAATGTTTGTCTTCTTCCTTGTGATTTCATAGTTTTCTAGAAAAAAATGGGGTTTCAAAGCCAGGGCCCTTCAAGATCTAGCACAACACCATGAGAGCAAACGAGGAGTCAGGGTATTCGGGAAGAGGTGGTSCATGGTGCCAAGAAATTCCTGATTAAAAGCTATAGTTTGGARCTGCACAGGTCTCCAGGGGAAATAACAAGGTCAGTGACTGCAATTACACCTCATCAGACTGGGATGCAAATACTGGGTTTGGAGAAGGGGTGAAAAGTTGATTGATTGAGAGAAAATGGATTGATATCCACGCTGGGTTGGATTTTGGGACATCTGACTCCACGTGCCACTCTGGGGCTTGAATCTTTTCCTTATTCCAGCAGTTTAGCTCCTGAATGATGCCAGCAGAGTCATTCTGGGTGGGTGTGGGGGTGTGTGTGACCTCCTGCTCTATGAGGTTCATCTCCAGTCAAGCAGCTTCRTGGTGCTGACCCCATCAACATTGGGGTGGGAACAGTGCAGAGTTGCAGGGTGAGCAGGGAATTCGGGACTGCACTCCCTGTCTCCGAGAGTTTGGCACATTCATGGGTGCAGAGATGCCRTGGGGGGAAGCACAAGGCTTGGAGGGAACCCAGGCAGTGCCAACACCCCACCCAAACACCCTGCCTGAGAGCAGGAGCTGGGACACAGCAGGAGCAGGGATGTTCTCCATGGGCTTTACTGTTGCTGTTGGATTCACCCTCCGGAGAAGGGACATTGCTGCTGATCCACCTGGATCTCAACAGGATGTTTATCAAACCAAGAGGAACTTGAGTGGTCTGAAATAAGCTTCATGAAGACACATACTGGCATTTCCCAGTCTGAGAGATTTCTTTTAGTCTGAAATTATTTAATATTTCTTTCCCCATATTTCCTTTCCCCTTGTTTAAACGYGGGGGCGAAGGTGGAGGGAATGAAGACAGAGCAATCCCACCAAACCCCTTTAATCCCTGCCATGGAGCCAAGTGGTGTTCATTCACTCCTGAGCTTGCTTTGGGACTTCATTTTGCTTTTGAAAAGTCGCCAGCAAGCTTTCATTAATCAGCAGGTGCATCTCTCTCTGAAAGCATTTCCATCAGATTGGAGCAGAGATTTGGGTTTAATCTCCCAGCTCGCGGAGCCCTGTGGCACAGACATGACCCTCACTGCTTTTGAGATGAATGGGAACCCAGCAGGATMTCAAGAAAGAAGAAAATCCGATGATTAGTTCACGTACAAAGCATCTTTTCTCCAGTAACACCTTCCCCGCGAAAAATATAACTTGTTTCCTAGTAAAAAAACCTCAAACAAACCAAAAATAAAATGTTGAGGTCTTTCATCTCCTGGCCTTTCCCCTTTCATTCCATGACTGCTGTAATGTTGCTGCTGCACACATAGCTCTGAACTTAAAAGCTTCAGTTTAATGCTCCTAAAATTTTGCAACAGAATTTCTTTTCTAAAYCCTAAACATGGTCATATTCTCTGTTTTTGCTGCTTGTGAGAGTCAAAAGCAAACACAAAGCAGTACARCTCCCATCTGAACAGAAACATCTCTAGGTCCCAGCTTTAGAGAAACAGCTGCATTCCAATGTTGGCTTTGAACCTTGTACCTCTTGACCTCGAGACAACAATTTATTGTCTGTATTTTAATTGTTCTATGCTTATTAATAATTTTTAGTAATTCAGTCACTGAAGTTTAGAACAGGAGTTTCCTGCTCTCTTACTGATAGAAAAAGGGATAAACAGCTCCAGAATGAAGAAAAAGGATTTATTTTAAAGGCATAGCCCTGTTTAATGCTGGTGTAATYCAGGAGTCACTGCAGTGAGCTGATTGGTGCAAGAGGGATCAGAATTTGGCTTTGTTTCTATGAAGCATTTTGGATCCCAAATTCATGATCCTCAAACATGTCTGTGCCTTTTAATAGAGGCAGAAGGTTTAATACCTTTCAAGAGGTACACCTCATCTTATTTTGCAGCAAATGGGTACAGCTGCCCTACTGGAGTCAGTCCTGTGTTACACTGAGGTCAGGGTGGGGCTGGGGGAGCAGCAGAAGTGCTGAGGTCTGTGGAGCCAGGCCTTGGGGCCAGGATATGGGGCCAGGCTTTGGGGTCAGGAAATGGGGCCAGGCCAGCTCACTCCAGGCTGTCATTTGCAATGAAGTCCTTGAACTCGGTTTTATTGATGAGTTGGATGAAAAGCAGAGGAGACAAGGCCAAGTCATGGAGCCAAATTCCTGCACTAAGCCAGCTAAAAGAGGGCCTGATCCCAATGTCATCATTCACTTGATTGCTCACGTCCCCAGAGCTCTGATTTCACCCCCAGCTCCTCTGTTCCCTGGSATCCGAGGCCAGGGCAGCTGGGCTGGCGGCTCTACAGCACTGACACTGCCCTGCCTGTCACTGCAGGTGTACTCAGCACGTTCAGTTCATTTAATCCCTCAAACAGCCCTGACAGCACAAAGGCGACGTGCCTGGATGTWCAGTAATGGAATAATTGCCAGTAGGATGCCCAGGGGCACAGTTCTGGCATACTGATGTGCTCCACATTTTCTGAAGGAGCCCCTGAGCTCAGGAAACATCCCATCTTCAGGCTCCTGTGTGAAATAGGCTGGTGGTGAATCTGACAGGCTGCAGAGGTGCCTGGGGTGTGGGTAAAGAACCCGCTGGATTTTCCCCTGTCCAAACTCTTCCTGGCTGTCTTTGGCACGTGGCTGAGAGCAGGGCTGGAACCYGAGAGAAGCTGCAAACACACAGCAGAACATCCTGCAAAGGGAAAGGGAGCACAAGGAAAGGAAAAGGAGGGAGAAGAGCAGAGGGGAAATGCACAATGTGTCTGAGCGCTGATGGCTCAGGGGCTGCCGGGAACAGATGGGAAGGGATTCCCTCACATCCCACAGAGGAGCCTGCTGCCAGGGATGCTTCATTTCTGCTCAGCTGCTCTGTGCTCCAGCTCCTCTGGTGCTTGTCTGGGAGCTGGGATTCCCATCCACACCTCAGTGATGCATTCCCAAGGTCGGGCAGGGATCCCCTGTAGCCCATCAGATTAGGTGGGCATGAAAAGGTAGCATGACAAGAGGGGGGATGTCTTTGCAGCCTGATGAATCAAATCTTCCCCAGGCTGACACTGCTTCAAAACTCTGACCCAGTGAGACAAAGCATTTTACACCGAGTGGAACGACTCAGAAACTGAGTCAGAGTTTTTCCTCACTTCTTCTGGGTTTCCATGCAGCCAGACATTCACCTGGAAAAATGCAGGTCAGATCCTTGCTTTGAAACAGGCACAGGAGAAGAAACGGTGGTACTGRTGGGGTTTCTCTGGTATTTCCTGTGTCAGTCCTGGTCCAGGTTTGAAAATGCTCAGCAAGCACCAAACACAACAACAGAATCACAGAATGTCCCGAGCTAGAAGGGACCCACAAGGATTATCGAGTCCAACTCCTGGCCAACCCCAAAAGTCACAAGTGCCTGAGAGTGTTGTCCAAACCCTACTTGAACTCTGGCAGGCTTGGGGCTATGACCACTAATATAAAAAAGGGTTCTTGCCTCTGAGTACCTCGTGGACTTCAAAGGGATGTTATTTCAGGGGTGTCAGGGCATAAGGGCTTCAATGCATGCAAGAAAAATGGGGAAATTTGAAGTATCCTCTTGCTTTTCCCTGCATTTTGAGAACCAGGGAGCTGCTAAGAGAGCATTTTGATCTGATAACTGTTGGATCCTCGCTGCTGACATGGGSTCAGTGTAATGGGGCCCTGACAAAGCTGGCTCACTCCTGGCCAGCCCAGGATCACCAGCACTACAATTCCAGGAATTTTCACATGTTCCTATCTTCCTGGGATCTGCAGCTGGGTAGCCATGGCTACAGGATCTGAGCAGGCTCCCTGAAAACCCAGGACTGCAAGTTTCCCCCAGGTGTATCAGAGTTTCTCACACCCCTCACTCACTCCAGSCCCCCACACTGTTCTCAGTCCCATTTGTGGAGAAATACTTCAGAAACATCCAGCTCAGCTGATAACAGGCTCTGGGAATGCCTGTGGCATGGAACACTRCCCTGGCAGGACTCAGAAAGGAGCTGGATGTCCTGATCTGCAAGATCTGCAATTCCCCTCCTGGGCTCAGCGTGTTTTTTTGGTGTCACAGGTGTTTAAGGGGAGACAAGAAGTGATCAGAACAGCCCCCAAACCCACCAAGCTGCAGGTGCCTCCGTCCAATGATCTGCATTTCACTGTGGAGAAATAAAAGTGGGAAAGGTGAGATCTCTGAGGGAGGAGCCCACCTGCCTCTGCAGGTGCCTGTGTTTGTGACACTCCTTCTCAAGGGCATGTTTTAGTAGGATAACAGCAGCCCAGTTACTGATTGTACATGTGAGCTGGGCAGGGATTTCCCACCCTCAGCAGGAAATTTTTTCAACCCCACTTGATGCAGTTGTGTGGGACACAAACGTGAATATCTGTATCTGCGTGYTTTCTGTCTTCTGACTGAGTTTGGAGCTGTGGGGTTGTTTCAAGTGAGATATCTCTCCTTTGCCTCTCCACCATGAAAACCAGAATTAACTCAACTATTCCCTTGGTTTTAATGGGATCCATGGGCACTCTTTGAGTAGGAATTGCCCCTAGAAGGAAAGATGTAAAATGCACTCACACACATCTTCAAGATCTAGCAATGCCTTCATACAGGATGAAATCTCCCCACAAAATCTGAAGAAGAAATGGATTTAATAGCTCCTTCACTCCTCCTCTCTCCTGGAGCKCCTGTTTTGTGCTGAGACAACCTTGTTCTGATGAGAGCAATTTCACCTGCCGCTGTGCCGCTAATTTTTGTCATCAGKACAGCGGCTCCTTATGGCAGCTTTGATCCAATTAAGGGTTTCAGGGCCCTATATCTCCCTTTCCTGGCAGTGTGTGCTAAGCAAGTGCAAATGAATTACAGCCCAATTATTTTCCCCCTGATCCCTAACGATCCTGGGCACATCAACACACCAAGATCTGTGGGAGAGCTTGAGCAGAATGAAAAAACACAGTCTTGCTCCGCTTTTGGCATTTGGAGCTGGTCTTTATACATGCAAATCAAGTTTCCTGKTCATGGAACAACCAATCCAAACACTGTGTCACAGGCACAGTGCACAGAAGGGCGTCCTCATGCTGGTCCTTCTCAGGGATCTGCTCTTCCAGGGCGTACCCAAGGGTGCCTGGAAAGCTTCTGCTGTCAGGGAGGGTGGGGAATCAACAGAACACACTGGGGCATCCCCTGAGGGCCTTTCCTGGTGCTGTAGTTTTGTCTCCAGCTGTGCAGAATGCAGGGGCTGTGTGCTGGTCTCTCCCCTCCTGCTCATGTTCCTCTTGTCCCTTCTCCCCATGTCCCCAACACCATCTTTGGTGCYGTATCATCACCTCTTATCCACAGGAATTTCGGCACATTCATATGTTTGGCATTTTTTTTTTCCTCCTGCTTCCTGTCTCTGTCTCTCCTTTACTGGCTCATTTATTTTTATTTTTTTTAAAAAGTGCAATTTTTCTGTTTCGGAGATGCCAGTTCTGGTAAAGCCACTGAGGACTGAGACTCTCCCCTCCCTTACCCTCTGTACTTCATAATTTATGATACATCAGCACCTCCCAGGTGGGACTGGGAGCAACTGGGACCTTTTCTCGGAGTTATCAACCCCCGAGGGCTTGAAACTGAAGAATGAAAGGTCTGAAAAGAGGGAGAGGAAATGTTTTTCTCTGCCTCTCGGCTTGTCTGGTGTCATCCCGGATGCCAGCGGCATTTCCAGTCACGTGTCCTCTGTTGGCTCACGTGGAGCAGGTCATTTCACAGGGATTTGTCATCACACATTCCCAGGGATCCTCGTGCCTCTCCTCTGTGGGTGCTCAGTGCCTGGGGAGCCTGTCCCCRTCACACCAGAGAGAACTCGGCCTGGAAGCCGGAGCAGCGGCGCGTCTTTGGCGAGCACTTGGTCAGCATGGAGATYTGCGTGCTGAAGTTGGTGCCGTTGCTGCCCAGGGAAGGGTGGTGGTACTTCATGTCCGAGCCCAGGAACCGCTCCAGGTGCCACCTCCGCCACTTCCTCTTGAGCTCTGCTTGGACCTGGGCACGGGGGACACAGGAAAGGTGGCACAGGGCATCAAGAGGTGTTCTGGCTCGGTGACCCACCCACCACAGGGCCCAGAGTTACTTTAGAATCACAGAATCACTAAGTTGGAAGAGACCTTCAAGGTCTTCAAGTCCAAACTATGCCCCAGCACCTCAACTAAACCATGGCAGAAAGGCCACTAAACTCAGCCTGGCCAGAACTTCTAATCAGAGAAAAAAAAGGGGGCAATCCAGGGAATTACTGGAGGAGAAATCCCTGAGCTTCATCAGAAAGGAATTTCTCATTGATACATCAAGGTATCAGACTACCTAACTTCAGTTGTTGTCTTGTGGCTAGTTTTAATTATAGTACAGCCACAGTTAAGGGGATAAAAGGGTTTTATTTTGGTATTTAATGGGATTTTATGTTGGTATTTAATGGGATTTTAGGTGCACAATTTAACAGAAAATGTATACTGCACATAATACGCATATAAATTTTACAGATTTTATAAATTAGTATCTTTATTTATAATTTTTAATAAGAAACTTAATAAATGAAGTAATGTTTAAAGAACTTTTTCTGGGATGGGGTTAGAGCTTATTTTATACAATATGTTTTAGAGAGAAGGCTTCAAGCAAGGTTGGAGCCTCAGGTTTTAAGAGAGCACAGGGTATACTGACTCTGTTGAGGATGTTTGGTCTTTTTGTTTAGAAGAATTTTAAAATTAAGTTAGAATATTAGGTGACAAGAATTACAAGTATGTAGGTGTTAAGGGGACAGGGGTACATAAAGGGTATAGAAAATGTTTAAAAGGGTATATAAAATATATAAAAGATCACATAAAAGGATAGGCAAAAATCATCAGGCATCACAGTGGGAACACACCCGACACTTCGTGA